GCTGCAGTTCCCTCACCGACCTCCAGGGCTTTTCTAAGCCACATTTTGAAAACCCTGCTTTAAATAACTTTATTATAAATTGTAAATGCTAATAACTGATTGATATTGTTATAAATAATCACCTTTTAGTCATTGTAATGTAAGTTGCGATTAATTGGAATGTGTAAGAGATACTACAGTACATTTCACCTTTATCTATGTAATTTGCAAAACAAGTTTGTAAGGAGACATGGATTTATATTAATTTAGAGGCTGTATCTATGTTGAAATTTTACAGAACACTATAAAAAGCGAAAAAATAAGTTGAAAGAACCAAGTTAATCTGTAGCAAGTCCTGGTGCCGCTCCAAAGCTCTGATTGAAAAATCGCACTACTGTTAAAGAGTTCTACTCAGACTTTCTATCATAATTGAAAAACGAAACTTTACACAGTCATGGATCAGGTGAATCATTATTCAGTGGACTAAAATCATAATGATTTATTCACAGGCACCCAGAACTAAAACAAGACTATTACTCTCCATTATTTGCTTGTTTCCTTTTAATTTATCATTTTAATGAATCTCTTCAATAAAAGCTTTAAATTAGGATGCATTCCAAATGAATGTCTCTCTGCACTCGATCAAATGCTGGCAACTCTGTGATGTGCAATAACTCCCAACCTTTTAATTATGAGTGGCTTCAAGCGGTGACATTCCTGACAACTCCCAGCTGATTAAATGTCTGGAAACATTGCATGGTTATATTACAGGCTACTTCGCCATCTGATGCGTGTTCCCACCACACACACACCTGGGGAGTGATATTACACTTTTCTCTTCCAGCTTAATAATATCAATCTTCAGTTACAGTCACCTTTGTGACACTGGTCTCTAAATGAAGACCTTGGCTTTGTTCTTCCGTCACTTTACTGTTGGTACCAATTAGACCAATGTGCTGAAGACACTTTACCCCCCCCCCCCCCCCCTTTCCCCCGCAAACCAAAAAATTTCCAGCAGGAAAAGCCTTTCCCCCCCCCCCCCCCATTTCCCCTGTAGACCAATAGATCTGCACTGCTTTTCTCTCTGATGACAGATGGTTATACACCTCTCAGAGAACTGACCGGTGTGTAAGTGTGACTTTATTTACAGTATGTGCCACACACAGAGTTCAAAGTATGTGGCTCTGAGATACACATTGTGTTAAGGCCTCAACTGCTGGTAAAGACATACAGGAAGAGTACATGATGTGAAGGTGCAAAAGAGGTGTTGTTTCATGTACGGCAAAATAAATACTTTTTTTCTCTCGCATTTCGGCCCAATAAAACAGACCTGTAAGTGAGGAAGTCTTTGCATCAGTTCAAAACCCACATTATTTCCCATGGGAGGTCTAAGCACAGACTGTACATCCTCAAAGGCAGTCACAGATGCCATGAAGGCGGTTGTTATTCTCATTTTACCTACTACTAACCTCTAGAGTGGTTATGTGTGAGTCTGGTATTGCAAAAGCAATGGTGGAAAATAAAATAAATGTGCTGAAGCAATGAATGCCAAGCACTAGCCATTCTGCACCTGAATATGTATTATAAATCATATAATTGTTGAATTCCTGCTGGAAAAGAATGTTGATGAATTTCTTGCATTGCGATATGCTTTGTGAAATTTTCCTCAGAGGATTTAAGTATTAAATGTGCACTTGTAGTGTGCTTCAAATTTTTAACGTACATGAATTTTCAAATTTTTAATGTACCGTACATGCAGATTAATACAGTAATATCAATTAAATAAATGGCTACTAAAAAAGAGTACTCTCATTTCATAAGTACATTTTTATAAGTAATTTTATAATTACTTTTCTTTGAAATATGGTTAGTACTGGCAAATGTACTGACAGGCATTTAAGGTTAACTAAAATATTCTTTAAAGGGGTCATATGATGTTGCTAAAAAGAACATTATTTTGTGTATTTGGTGTAATTAAATGTGTTTATGTGGTTTAAGGTTAAAAAAACACAATATTTTCCACATACTGTACATTATTGTTTTTCCTCTATGCCCTGCCTTTCTGAAACGCGTCGATTTTTACAAAGCGGTGACAGAACCGCTTCATCAGTCTGAAAAGTGAGGTGTGCTCTGATTGGCCAGCTATCCAGTGCATTGTGATTGGCCAAATACCTCAAGTGTGTGACAGAAATGTTATGCCCCCTTACCATATTGTGATGCCCTGTCCGGCTGGAGAGACGAGACAAAAACATTAAAACCCATTATAAACGAGGCATTTGTTGTATCCAGTGGGGACATAATTGACCTTCCAGTGGGGGATTATAATGACTTATACTGTCTTTTTACGCGTTGCGGTGCATCGCGCCGCGCCACGCCACGTAAACATAAAACCATGTCTGCATTTGTGATTGGAGAAGTTACAAACAATAAGTGCTACTCTACACTGCTCAAAACTCGAGTTTGAATCATCAGTGGCAAATTCTTTAAATATAAAAAAACTTACTTACAGTCTGTGAGTCAGAACAGCCGGCATTGTAGTCTACTCTTCCAGGATCAGGAAACAGTCCTCCATAAAATGCACTGCACACATCTAAATATTTGGGTTGAACTGTTCTGGAACAGTGTTGTAAATACAACTTAACCACTGATTTCTAGTCGTGTCCTCTTTTGGAAGGCCAAACAAAGTAGTTTCGCTTTCACAACGGAAAACACGGCGGGCTAGAGTGAGCAGAGGCCGGGGGGTAGAGTGAGTGGCGGGGGGCGGGCTTGCGGCAACCACATGTGACGACCCCGGGCTGGACTCTGCTTCGTCTATGGTAAAAGCCGATCCGGCGATCGACAGCGCGAATTTGATGCATTTCCTCAGCGCCCAGCACGGATCAGCTCCAGGCATGACGAAGCGGATATCGTCCTCTTTTGGAAGGCCAAACAAAGTAGTTTCGCTTTCACAACGAAACACACGGCGGGCTAGAGTGAGCAGAGGCCGGGGGGTAGAGTGAGTGGCGGGGGGCGGGCTTGCGGCAACCACATGTGACGACCCCGGGCTGGACTCTGCTTCGTCTATGGTAAAAGCCGATCCGGCGATCGACAGCGCGAATTTGATGCATTTCCTCAGCGACCAGCACGCATCAGCTCCAGGCATGACGAAGCGGATATCGTCCTCTTTTGGAAGGCCAAACAAAGTAGTTTCGCTTTCACAACGAAACACACAGCGCCTTCACGACATGGCGGCGGCAGCAACAATACTACAGCGAGAATAAAAGTTATGCCTTCTTTCTTTACGTGAACATTTGGGCAGCGTTATGCAAATCTTCCCCCATCGTGACGTAGACATGTGGGGGTGTGTTAGAACGAGCCGTTTTAGGTAGGCGTGGTTGACTCTTAACTTTTATAAAGAATATCTCTTTGGATTTGAGACTTTAGTCTTTGCAACTTTACAGATCTTCTTAATGCACCAAGAGCTTGTAACACTCCAAAGAGAAAGGAAAAATTTTAATCGCATCATATGACCCCTTTAAATACACAATATTTAATACATTTCTATTGACACGTCTATGTCATATATTTACATATATTTGTAATTACAAGTGTGAAATGAAAAAGTTGCATTTAAGCTGTCCTTGTTACAGTTTAACTATGTTTGGATTATGATTAGGGTTTTGGGTTACACTTTATTTTAAGGTGTCCTTATTACACGTTACATGTACTTAATATTATAATAACAATTAATTGTGCATAATTACATGCAAGTAACCCCAAGCCAAACCCTAATCCTAACCCTAACCTTATAATAAGTACATGTATTTAATTAATATTACTCAGTACTTAAATGCATAGTTACACTGTAACAAGGACACCTCCAAATAAAGTGTAACCCTTTATTTTAAGGTGTCCTTTTTACAGTGTAATTATACATATACAGTAAGTGCTGAGTAATATTAATTAACTACATGTACTTATATGGTTAGGGTTAGGATGATTTGGGTTTGGCTTAGGGTTACTTGCATGTTATTATGCTTAATTAATTGTTATTATAATAGTAAGTACATGTAACGTGAAATGGACAACTTAAAATAAAGTTTTACCGGGTTTTGTTTAATGTTAATTGCATGTAATTATACATAATTTACTGTTATTACTACAATAAAGTACATGTAACAAGTGTAACAGTGACACTGTGAAATAAAGTGTTACCAATTTAATATATTTAAAATACATTAACTTAACTTTAAATATGTTAACAGAACTTTGTAATATCAAATAACACACTGCAGTAAAAAATATAACAATTACATATATGCTAGTATGTTAGTCCACCATCAAAATAAGTGTACTTCTTTAAAACTTGATTTAAATGTGCTTACATTTTTTTATTTAATTAATACATTTTTTTAATTTGGCATTATTACAAAAGTTCACTTTTTAAAAGTGTGCTTATGCGCGTTAAGGAACATCATTAAAGTGTCATGAAAGTGTACTCTCCGTAAATAGGTTTTTATTTAATTAATATTATATTATCTGCAAGTACACTATTTTGAAAAGAAAAAAACAACGAATTTACTTTCCAATACATGTTAAATAAATAAACTAACAAAATGTTTCTCTTTACAATTTTTCTGTTAAAATATACTAACTGGCTTCGGCTCTGTAACAAAAGAGTGTGCTGTGTGCCCCCCAATGGAAATGGGGGGGTAATAAAGAAAAAGTTCCTTTTCAAAACTGCTATTTTATTTTATACTCCATAACATCAGTCAGTGCAGACTGATGTTATGGAGTATAAAATAAAACAGCAGTTTTGAAAAGGAACTTTTTTTTGATTACCCCCCATTTCCATTTCTTTTGTCTGTTGATTATTGTTAAAAAACAGCAATAGTCTTTATAAATTAATGTTTAAATGAACAAAATATATAAATTAGCAGCTGTCTAGACAGCTCAGTAAGCTCATTAGACAACTATTGTTTGGACAGAGCATTAAAATACAAAGTACACTGTCAAATAAAAAAAACACAACACCAAGTTTATGCATTGTATTTTCTTTAGTACTTACATATAAGGAGGGAAATACAACAGTTGCTTTTTAGGGAGGATACAGGATGTTGTAACAGTGCTCTGTACATTAAGGGTGTGGCAGCACATGGCTGACAGTACCGTGCTTCAGCAGAACAGAGAGTACAGCTCAAATCTACACCACAACACAGCATGTGGTCAAGGCAAATGCCTAGTAGCAGCTCCTCTTGAAAAAGAAAAAATGTAAGTGCAGATATTGCAACTGCTGTTTCATTTACATACATAGTTGAAAGTAGAAAACAATATGAAACCAAAAATGTCCTGATGGTGATATTACACTTAGGAAAATAATTTTAGAAAAAGGAAAAGTGTATGAGCTGCTACCAGAGACTTGCTAGTAGTCATATAGAGTCTTATGTACCCCATCAGAAGACCTTAATAACACATTGGAAATGGTTCATTTTGATCATCAAGGTACAGTTGAAAAGTTTACATTCAGTTCTGAGCCTCCATAAAGTTAAAATGTGAGTTAAACTACACCTTTGACCAACACTCCAACTGTTTAGCAAAACCTAATACCTTGACGTGTTACATCATCAATTAACATTTCATCACACGAGGGTTTACTCATCCGAATCCTTTGAGAAAGAGGTGAAGGGGCTACAAATCATAGGAGAAAGGTGGAGAGGTGTCAGTAATAAGTTCTCTGTGCCTTTTATCTGGAGTGAAAAGGACCCCTGATTCAATTAGGGGTGAGTTAAAAAAAAATAAAAATAATGTTATAATAATAATAATAGAATAAAAACGTTATAATAGGCGTTCCTTCCTTGTTACAGGAAAATGACTAATACGACTATTAAAACAAAGTCATGCATAAATCCTGCATGTTACAAATACAGCACAAGTGAGGAAATAAACATTTAATACGGTGTGTGTGAATTTAGGTGTCCTGAAGAAACTGGGGGGACTGTAACCCTGAAACTAACCTGTGATAGGTCAGCAGCAATACAGATATCAGATATCATCTTCCAGACCTTTTACCAGCTTACCCCTTTCTAAACTACTAAATGTTTAAAGTTTCGGGCTTGACCTACTGTGCTACCACATTTTGTGGTGTTTTCTTTAACAAAGCTCTAGCGAGCTTCAAAGTAAAAAAAAACAAATCTCAAAACCTGCAGTTTACATTGTGGCAGATGTTACAACTAGTTTTGAGATATTTCTTGGTATATTAATGAATGCAACCATGGTGCTATATCAATATCCGGGGCAGATCTACTTAAACACAATAATCAACCCCTCCAGTGTGTTTGCATAGCATTTTATCCTTACCAAAGATCTTAACTCTATTGCCGCCTGGATGGGAATTCACGGTGAGATCAGTAAAGATACAGAAAAAGAGAAAGAGAAAAGATAGCCTCACTGAAATTCAAGTATCTGCCTGCCGAGTCCCTATATGGCATCTGCCTCCCCTATTCCTCAGGCTAACTGAGTAATCAAGAGTTAAGCTTCTGAAGTCGTTATGTACTGAACATGGTATGTACACAGAAGGGAGGGTCTGGCACATGCATGTAATGCATGGTAACATGATATGTCTTCTATTATCATTTATGTATGATTAGATAATTCTCACAATACAAACATATACAAAGTAAAATAAAAAAAAAATAACGCTAATTGTGCCTGCAAGTCTCCATTCATGCAGAGGAATGTTGGAGAAGATATCTAACTCCACAATGTACAAGCTCCTGCCTTTCCTGTACCGACACACATTTAATTGAGATACAGACATCTGTAGAGTTGCTCCTGCTTTGGCCCTTACCAATGTGAACAAATGTGGTGTCAGCACAGAACGCGGTTGTGACTATTGAGATCCGTTTAATAAGGCATTAGACTTAACCAAGACAAGAAGCAGGTGGCATCCAGATTGAGAACGAGTATGAAATACCAAAGACAGACGAAGAACTAATGCAGCAACCAAGGCATGTGTTGAACCAAGATAACGTGGAAAAGGGGCAAGGGGATTAAAACCATTCAACATTTCCAACACTGACATAGAATCCATGGCACGTTCTCACGAACGTCCCTGACAGTTTCTGTGGCTAAGTGTCAGGTTTATCAACAATGGCGTGAAAATGATCCATCTCAAACACAAATCTGGGACAAAAGTAGAATCTGCACTTCAAAGGCCTCTTTGTTGGAGAAGAATCTGTTGAATTAAAAAAAAGAGAAGCAGAAGAATGGACACAGTGCCAAGACTCCAGGCATTCCTCTGAGAAAGATCCTATCCACAGTAGGGTAACCCACACTTGATTGAGTACTTTAGGAATCCATTTTGATATCAGTATTCACTGTTCACAACTGAAATTCTACGTTTCCTTTAAAGATTGTACACTCACCCTTATACTGAGCAGCAATCATACACACCACTACAGCCATTTTTGCTAGAATCCCTCAAGACTCGTCTTTGGCTTCCCTGGCAGCGTCATGAATATTTTTTAGTTTGTACAAGTGTCAATGTGTAAGGGAAACAGCACTGTGCAAAAAACCCCAACAAAAGTGGACACTAGGCCTTGGTTGTTTTTCTAGTGAAAGGTACCTCCTCTAGAGTGAAAATTAAGAGAGAAAATAGAAAGGAACGTCTTTAGAAAGCACATAGCCCGATCAGGCTATTTCCTTTATCCTGCGCATGTAGTCGTGCAGTTCCTGTGGGTCCTGAAAGCCCATGTCTTGGCATACCCACTGAATGTCCTCTTCGTTGGCAATGGGGATGGAGTTGTAGGGTAAATCCTCAGTCGGAAGGGTAAAGGTGGTAAACTTGACACGTTTGCGTTTGGAGGTCGGTGAGCTGGCGTCTTCTCCGTGGTCTTTGGTGGAACCTCCGGAGCTGCCATCTCCTCGGCTGTGGACTTGGCTTTGTACGCTTGTCTGGGAGCTGCCGCTGCTGGCGTGGTCCCCATGACAACAAGTCTGTACCCCCTCCAAGGTGTTGCTGGGGCTTTCCACCGTCTGAGGCGAGAGATCACTCTGGGCGCGCAGGGGTTCCCCGTTACCCAAGAACACCCAGTGGTGGGAATGGTCCATGTTGGCTTGGCCTTCAGGAGGGATGCGCTTATGGCGATACTTCAACACAAATACAATACAGTTTATAAGAAAGACCAGAATGGCAAGACAAAACACCCCAAGAAGAGCATACATGCCGATCTCCAGGTCAGTCATGCTACGGGGACTGTGCACAAACTCGTCGTCCTCCTCGTCTTCTTCAGTTGGTTCCTCCGGATTGCTTATTGTAGGAAAGTTGGTGTAATCAATGGGCACACTTGCGGGCTGCTCGTTAGATGGCTCATACCCTCCACCACCTACGTTGGAATCGATAGCAGGCCTTCTCGTGTTGGCAGGAATTCGAGTGTCTATTTCAGTTTCTGTATCCACTTCCTCCTCAGAGTCTTCATCCGGTCCAAAGCGGACTTTGACGAACAAAGGAGACGAAGCAATGACACTCTTGCGCTTAGTCTTCTGGCAGGTTTCGCAGATGGTCATCTCCACATGCACTACCTCTCCTGTGCCCTCACCTTCGGCTACGATGACTGGCCACCGTTGCTGGGGTTGTTGAGCCACCGTAACCACCTTATCGTCTGCTGTGGTGGCATTGAGGTTGTAGTCTTTAGGGTCGTACATACTCAGGGGGGCGGCGGTATTGTCGCTGTAGTAAACCCAGATGGACAAACTGGCCTCCTACAAACACAAAATGAAATAAATTGTGAGCATGAACTCAACCCTTACACACCCTATAACAGTTAATTTTTTTAAATCTGTCTTCAAATTCTTTGGTGCCTGTGATGTTGGCAAGAAATGGCATTATATATGCCGGTTTAAAGGCAAATTTTAAGTCTAAGTGACTATTGGGCACCTCCAAAAGTTAGTTTTGAACTGGTTCATCCCAGTATATAGCATCCAGTATCTGTATATAATGTTGGAAATCATTTTCATTCTTGCACAGACTGATCGTTTCGCTTCATAAGGCCTCAATATATCATCAGAAACCAGAGGTAATAATTTTGCATATGCTTTTTTGATTCTCAAGTAGCCAACTTGCTTTTTATGAATCACCAAGGACCGGTTTCAGCAACAACAAAAACATTATTGTTTAAATATTCTTTACTTTTCTACTGAAGAAAAAAAAAAGTCACCTACATCTTGGATGGCTAAATGGTAAGTAAATTAACAGCACATTTTCAATTTTGGGTAAACTATCCCTTTAATTTTACACTCTCTTTGTGTAGCCCCTAAAGTCGTAACTGGGTGCTGTTGATGGATGTCGTATGGCTGCAGTAGTGTATATACAGTGGGGAAAAAAAGTATTTAGTCAGCCACCAATTGTGCAAGTTCTCCCACTTAAAAAGATGAGAGAGGCCTGTAATTTTCATCACAACTATGAGAGACAAAATGAGAAAAAAAAAATCCAGAAAATCACTCTCATTTTGTCTCTCATAGTTGAGGTATACCTATGATGAAAATTACAGGCCTCTCTCATCTTTTTAAGTGGGAGAACTTGCACAATTGGTGGCTGACTAAATACTTTTTTGCCCCACTGTATAGTACATTCAAACAAAACTACGATTTTGAATTGTATGACGTTGTGCGCTGTCCACTTGCGTCAGGTGTGCTACGCTAGTGGAGGACAGAGGAGCCTCTTAAAGAAGAAGTTACAGGTCTGTGAGAGCCAGAAATCTTGCTTGTTTGTAGGTGACCAAATACTTATTTTACCGATGAATTTACCAATTAATTCTTTAAAAATCCTACAATGTGATTTTCAGGATTTTTTTTTCTCATTTTGTCTCTCATAGTTGAGGTATACCTATGATGAAAATTACAGGCCTCTCTCATCTTTTTAAGTGGGAGAACTTGCACAATTGGTGGCTGACTAAATACTTTTTTGCCCCACTGTATAGTACATTCAAACAAAACTACGATTTTGAATTGTTTGACGTTGTGCGCTGTCCACTTGCGTCAGGTGTGCTACGCTAACGCTAGCTCGGATGTTGCATTAAGGGGATCCTTAATGCAATATCAGAGCTAGCGTTAGCATAGCAGGCTTTTTCAAATGCTAAAATGTTGAACAACTTTCTCTTCACTACATAGAGATTATCAATACTGAAGTGTTGCCATCTTCATCTCCTGACTTTCAAAACTCTCTTAAATATTCATTATCCCGTGTTTACTGGTCCAAGAAAACTGTTTTGAGCAAGCAACATGTAGCTGACATCAGAAGGGCTTGCATGCTTTTGACCATTAGAAACACAGGCTGAGGGGAAGTGGAACTGGCACAATGCTTTTGTTCTTGTCACCTCATAACAAGCCTAAGCTTGCCATCCTGCTTTGCTCTCTGCAAAAGGAACAGCACAACACCTTACTTCTGTTGGCAGGCAGACAAAATGAAACCACTCTGCCAGAGTGCTTTTAGTCAGAAATGAAGTGTTGCTTTGCTTTTGTATTCAGAAAAGAAGTATTTATCTGCCTCCAGTCAGCAATGGCCTGTTGTGAATCTGTAAAAAAAAAAAAAACTCTTCTGTCGCGTCACTAACTTCAAGGTTGTTCTGACATTCGGGCTCAGGCTCTGTCAACACTGGTTGTCAAGATGAAGAGAGTCTTTGATATGCATGATCTGAATAATACATTGCATATGACATGTTGTCCTCGTGGACCTTTCGAGATCACTCTAGCCACTAAATAAAATGGTATCAATCACGAATGGCCTTTGATTCTTGAAGCATCAGTCTTTGGGAGATGGCACTATAACTTTTACATCGATGTCATCAGATTTCTAACTGTTAAAAGTGTTTGAGATTTATCTCTATCATCGTAATTTTGGATGTACTGTACATAAACTACAGAAGTTAAATGTTCAAGCATCCAAGAAACGTGGAACTTTAAAATAGAATAATCGCTAACACCAGCATACAACAAAATCTATTATTTAAGGCTGCCAGTGAGACAAAGGAAAGGGGCATCTAAAATGTAAAAGAAAGAGCAAGAAAATCAGTAACACTTAAGAAGCTTCAATTTGTTAACATTAGTTAATGTAATCATGAACTAGCAATACTTTGACAGCATTTATTATTATAGGTGAATGTTCATTTTTGCTGATTCTGATTAAATTACATTAGTTTGAATAAATTAACATTCTTTAATGTATTGTCAACAAACTTGAATTAACAGCTAATGGTATATTTATTAATTACCTCCGTGGAAAAAAAAAATTGCAAATTTTTTAATCTAGGTTCATTTCAATTTACACCTGGCATTAAAAATGTATATATAGAAATTATAATGAATTTTCGATTAATTATTAAATTATATGAATACATTTGAAGAAAGACTAACAAATTCTGTTGTTGCTCTTCAATGTTCATGACACCTAATGCATTAATTCCAACAATTTGAACATTATTGTAAAGTGTAAAGTGAAATGATCACAAAGTTACTGTTATTTTGTGACTGCATAGGTGAAGTAGGTAAGTGCACTGAAGGATTTAAATGATGGAGAGGCAGCAGTGGAGGAGGAGGGTCATCAGTGATGTTTATAGCATATACTGATGTTTATAGTCTCCACAAGCACTTAGGCTGATACATTACGCTAATTAAAACCAAAAGTGGAGAAGCAGAGAGCGGGCAGAACTGCTGGATTTTAATGCATGAATTGAATGCAGGCACCCTCGTCTGATGTTGGTCATAGGCTAAGTACAGAGCAGGAAAAAATACCCCGAGCTCTCACGGCAGGGCTACGTGACCTGCCCAAGACATTGTATAAATTACCACGGCAGCATACGAGTTCCTCGCTGGAAAATATAAGCGAATGTTCCAATTAATGCTTTGAAAAGATTATACAGCAAACACACGAAGCTCCCCTGATGGCAGAGAACAGAAGTGGTGGTGTCTTCTTATTAAGCAAGATGCCTGCTCATTTGGTGTGCTGATATTAAAGGAGATTTGAATATGTCTGAATGCCAAACAAGCCTTTATTAAAGCAGTGAGGGCCGGCTGGAAGACTGAACTGAGGCTAATTTGCCAATGGTGTGTAACCTTCATGAAGACTCAAATCATCAATATGAAGTTCAGCCAGCGTTAACTCTTCAGGAGCAGAATGATCCTGAGCAACAAGGAGGAATTTCACATAAATGTCACTTGCATAATTAGTGGAAGGGGCCAAAGGTTAGAGCTTTTCTCTGGACTCAACTGCAGAGGCTATGATGATGAATGATGCTGTCATATTTAGACAATTATGTGAAGATACAAGTTTGTATGTTGTGTAGCCTATAAATGAACTTAGCTTCTTCAATGTGTTTCTTGAGCCAAAACAAGTGTGATCATTTCTAGGCTTTCAAATCAGAATATGCGACTTGACATTGAAGACCTTCAGTGGGTCTTCATTCATAATGATGATACCATAAAAATTCAGTAAAAAAATAAAAAAAACTTTGCACGGTTTATAGATGTTTAATGCAAGTTTTTGAGACTAGAGACTGGTCTCTAGACCAGTGTTATTTAGTATCATTGATATACTAATTTTTGTTAATATTTTTAATTAATTTTATTTTCAAAGTTTTTGTTTTCACTGTAATTTTAGTTAAAGTTTTAGTAATTTTGTTTTGTTGTTTCTTTGTACTTTTTAAATGTCTGTATAGTATTTATTAATATAGTATTTTATTATACATAGTATTTAGTACTCAGTTAGTATTTAGTATGGTATTTAGTTATTTTAATCCTTCAACTAAACAAACAAACAAACAAAAAGAAATGTTATCTTGGCAACTATCTGAATTAAAAGAAGTCTAAGTTTTATTTTATTTTATTATTTATTTTATTTCAGTTAACGTTTATTTTATTTCAAGTAACAATTTTTATTAGTATTTTTAGTATTAGTTTTCATTTTAGATAACGATAATAAATCTGCCTTGGACCAGAAACAAACCTAATGCACTGTAATAAGTTCCAAAAATTGGCTTGAGCACCTTACAGAGAGTCTTCAGTCTGATTAAACACTCATTCATAACTTAAGACTGTCATAAAAAAGTTTTGATTGAAGAATATACCAGAGGATTTAACAAAATACCATCAAGAAAGCATAATGAAATGTCATTTATTGTAGAAGATATGAAAAACAATGAAGCAATCAACTATACCTGCTTAAGAATGGAGAGAGTCTGCAGACCAGTTGCCTTGGCAACCATAGTATGGCTGTTGCCAGGGCTTGGTTGAAGATTAAGTGCCAGTCCTGAGATGGCATGAACACGTAACTCCACTATAGACACTTTCTCGTCTACCACAGAGAACTGTGTTTCACCCAGTACCGCCTCCACTGCCAGTGGGGATTCAACCTGAAAGCAACAAAACATGATGCATTTTTACAGTATGAAAGACATTTTAAATGGAAGAAAATATGGGGAGGAGAGAAGATACAATGCCTGTCAAACAGAATCTTTTAGTGGATAATCCCACATATTCAAGATTCAGCCCACTGAGTAAAGGAAGAATGGGAAAATACACCTTTTCTCCAGAGGACGGCCAGCACTCGGCCTCCACATAAATCTTCCATCTGACAGTTCAAACCCATTATGTCACATTTTCTTCACCTCCCACCACCGTTAAAGATCACCAGGGACTTACCAAGTGAAAAGTCAAGTGGGGGAGGCACGACTAGGAGGGTCAGAGATTCTCATTTTTTTCCCCCTGTGTGTCTTTGTTGAACCATGAGACCCTGGCAATCCCAAGAGATACAAAGCGCCAAGTTAGATAAAACCAGCCGCAATATAGCGATGGTTTTTCACTTTTCATAATTTGGGAAGATTAACTTGAACTCGCATTTTGCACGACAAGAACAAGTCAGACTACGGGGAGTGTTTTTGCCTCAAGAAAGACACAATCAGAGGGAGAAGTGCATAGAGCTTGGATGGATTTGAAAACAGACTGAACCATTGCCAGTAGCAGACTCTTCAGTCTCTCCATGACAAACAGAAGTTTAAAGAATTATGACTAGTAAAGAACACTAAAAGATGTTGACAGAAACTGAAGTTGTTCTTGCTTTGTCACCATCCGTAAATGTCAAAATGGTATTTGTGAACTGAGTTCATTATCTTTTCTTTTCAATTACAGCTATTCCAAACAAAGAACAATTATATTACCTTCATATACTTGGCTTAATCACAGCAGAGCTGGTTACACTTAACCACATAGGAGGGAGCGAAGCTAATTTTTCATGATCAATTTAGCCTAATAAAGTCCATAATGACTTTTAATGGTGTTCAAAAATGTCCAAGCTCTGCAGCAAACATTTTCATCCAACCTACTATTACTTCCTTCTTCAAAATTACCCATCTCCAGCTAAAAGCCCTCAACGCTGATGTAGTTTTATGTACTAGCCATGCTGATGATTATACTTCGTCTGTGAAGTGGCCATTCTCAGCCATCTTTTGGCATAAAAATCCGATCCAGCCATTTTTCAGTTTTCTTTCACTGAAGCACACAGTGCTCTGCTGGCGTGTGGTGGGCGCCAGTGAGCTGAACCCAGCCTAGACTTGCGATCCACAAGTCCCAGATGCACATTGTTTGTGTCCCAATGCACTAATGTTTTGGAGCAGGCTGTTACAGTTCATTGACCATCCAGTCCTATACAATCCCATCTCCTTTCCTCCGGTTGGAAAGGGGATGTAGACCGGGGGGGAAACCAGATGAATGTATAATTGAACTGAACTGTTCTGTTCCTGCATTTTTTTTATTTCCTGCATTCAAGGCAAGCTTCAAAGATACTGCACATTTGAAACAGAGAAAAGGAATGACAGATAGAAAAACTAATTCTTGCCAGAATGGCTCGTTTGTTTGGTATCCAGGCAGTTGCAATTAGATTTATTATACTTGCTGATATACCAGCTTTTGATATTTGCATTATAACCAGAACTTTGGATGCTTCAATAGAGTGTGTTCAAAAGCTAAAAAGGGTCTGCCTTTTCCCCGAAAACCTAATTACTGTACTTGGTAGACCTGGCAAGCCAATTAAGTTGTAGGAAACACATAAATTTAGGCCTGCAAGATTAGCATTGTACTTTTAATGGTTTTCTAGATGGATTCACAAGACCATTACTGCTCAGTCGATCCCAAGAACAGGTCAACAATACTTTCTGCTGTTCATAGGATCCTCAAAACAATTTGTCACGAGAGACCTTCAAAGCTTAAAGGTTGTGCGTCTTTGTGCTTAGGGCATAGTGACAGGTGGAGGATGAGTGTTATGGCAGATGAAGATCAAAGACCCACCAAATAAGCAAAAAAGCCCTGGTGTGAGTTATAAACAACATTATTCACACCTTTCCTTTATCTTTTTTTTGTAAGGGTGCTCTAAATGATGCTCTGTGCTCAGTTTTGTTTATTTTCAGCTCACATTCAGCGAAAATGTTCCAATTCTACATGTGCCATTAATTATTAATGACCTTTGCAGTTTTACCTAGTTTAATTAGCAAACTTTTTCTTTTATGCTAAAATTTGTTTATGGAGAAAAACAGACACTTTCTGAAGCCAAACAAACAGACAACACTGTGAAGAGGTGTGATCAAGTTGTCAAGAACAATCAAATCTCCCTCTGTTTGGACACAATGAACTGATTGTTTGCTACTTCAATGGAGAGAAAACTTCACTTTCAAGAATGAATCCCCCAATTTAACACCATTGAAGTTTTATACCACACAGATAATTCTCTTCCCAAACATCCCAGTTTCTGAATTGCCTACTGGGACTAAATATGCATATGAATAGCTTTCTAAAGGGGCATTAAAAGATAAAGACAGCAGCAGAGCTAACTTAGATACATTCAATTGTGAGAACTTTTAATAGAAGCCCTTATTGATTTGATCTATTTGAGCTAAATTTATATTCTTAGCATTCTGTCTGTTTGAAAACAATTAGCTAATTATGATGACACTGGATTAAAAGCAACTGTTGTCACAAAATAAAAGAGAAAGGATGAGATGACGAAAAAAATATCAGCCTTCAAGCCCATTTGCTGTTCCAGCATGGCCATTCAAACTGCCCCTTTAAAAAAAAGCCCCCTCTCTAGTGTCTAAAACATAACATCAGAGAAGTCAGTGAAAGTAAAGTTTGTACTTGAATACATGAGACAGTAAATGGGATTAAATAAATGTGCCTAAGACACTTGAATAAAACCATGATTAAGGACCAATGTCCAGTAGAGAATGCAATACAATGCAATTAAATTGTTGGTTATATAGTTGCATTGTTATTTGGTATTATTGATATATGGTATTGATATATATTGGTATTGAAATATACCCCCCCCCATTAATCCATCAATCTTGTATTTACACAATCTGTTTATATTTGTATTCTACCTTCAGAGTGGATGATCCAAGCTCGTTGGCCACTAGCACCGTCCTGTCCACCAACTCAGCCACCCTGGCGTCCACCACCTTCAGAGAGTCTTGCACCAGCTCTGTCACATCCACTTGCCAGTCAGGACCCAGCATAGTGATCATCTGGTTTGTGCCTTCAGTAGAGGTTGTGTGGAACTGGGTCAGAACCTTAACCTGGGCTCTCTGGTACTGCAGCGTACATCCCCGACTCACTTTACGGTCATCATCATCATCATCATCGCTGTCTCTGGCCGTTCTGAGGAGATGAGCGAGAGGTCATTATGATTTACTATAAATTAGAAACTCACACTAGAATTTATGTTCCACTAACTTCCATTCATAAGAATGATAATATGGAAGAGCAGGTACACCTGCATGTGCAAAGAATTTTTGTCTTTCACTTTTTTTTTTTGCATTTAAGTTTGGTGAACTTTGAACTGCAATTTATATAGTAAAATGGAGCTAGACTAATAGAGGATCTGAACATCACAAATTTACCTTTTAGGAAATACACACAGGAAACTTATGGTGGTTTCAAATAGGCTAATCCTTTATGAAACCATCACATTTTTTTTTTATAAAAATGTATAATAGAGAATATAAAGTTTAGTTTAGAGGACAACCTGTATAGACCTTAATGCAGCAAAAAAAAAAAAAAAACGGCTAGATTTTAACATTGTAGCTGTAAAGGAGAGGATGAGATGAGCAAAAAATGGTCAGTCTTCAATCCCATTCGTTGCTGCGGCATCCTGAAATATCATAGTAATTCAAACTGCCCTCTTTAATTAGCCAAACACAAAACAAAACAAAACAAAACAAAACAGCACAACACAACACACAAAAAACACAGAACAAACAAAATAAATAAATCAAAACATGACACACTGAAACAAAAAAAAAAGTTTCTAAGCTAGCTATAAATGAACTTTTTTGTTTGTTTTTAATTGAGTATTGGTGTGCATTGGTGTACATAGATCTATAGCCAGGGGTGCACATAAGTGGTATGCAGGTGTGCATGCGCGACCAAAATAAAAATTAAGCAAAGCAAAGCAAAGCAAAGCAAAGCAAAGCAAAGCATGCCCTCTTTAATTAGCCAAACACAAAACAAAACAAAACAAAACAGCACAACACAACACACAAAAAACACAGAACAAACAAAATAAATAAATCAAAACATGACACACTGAAACAAAAAAAAAAGTTTCTAAGCTAGCTATAAATGAACTTTTTTGTTTGTTTTTAATTGAGTATTGGTGTGCATTGGTGTACATAGATCTATAGCCAGGGGTGCACATAAGTGGTATGCAGGTGTGCATGCGCGACCAAAATAAAAATTGTGCGGAGTAAATAAGTTCAGACTGCTCATTTGCGTACCGACATGATTGACAGCTGTTAATGCACAATTACCATTTTAGATCGACAAGCCGTAATACTATATAAGATTTCTATTCGAACTGAAAGCATAAATCTAGGCTATCCGCTAACGTTTTCAAAGCACAAAGCAAAACTTTGACATTTCATTCGTTCTTTGCTGACGCTCTTCACTCTGCAGCGCTAAAGATGGCAGCGCATATATTTACTTCCCAGCAACAAAGCTTTTATATATTATATATAAATTATATATATATATTAGCATTTTATTTTTTAAGTTTACTATAAAATAATTGTTTTTGTATTTAATACTCCCTTTTTATTTTAAAACACAATAGTATTATCACACTTTATTATTTTGTTTAATTTATTAAAAAAAATTAATAAAGTGCAATAATATTATTATCTCTATTATAATTTTTTATAGTTATATTTAATGGGTCACACTATGTGCAGTGTGAGGACCAAACCAAA